CCGACAAGGGCATTTACATAGGAACGAAGCATCGAAGTCATCTCCCTCACAAGATGTTCACAGTCATAAAAGAATGGTTTGGCAGGCCGCAAGGAAGCAAGCAGACTTTGGGCGTTGTCTGTCGGGCAGGACAGACGCTTTGTCTAGAGCGAACGAGGAGACGCCTGCGAAGAAGAAATGTCGTCGACTACGGGAGACGACTGCGAGAAATAGCACCGTCGTCTATGAGATCAGACGACGTCGATAGATTCACCACCGAAAAATTCGTCGTGGGAAATGCCGATAAGAAGGGAAGAAGCCGATAGATTCACCACCGAAAATAGCCTCTATCTGTATCCTACTTTCTATTTAATATATTAGCCATTGGGTTTTCTAATATATATATATATATATATATATACACCCACGATGCGAGAGCGCTCTGGCGTCTGCGTCGACATCGACGTCCTAGGATTCCACCGCACCAATGGCGTTTGATTTCTCCTTCAACCTCAGCGTCGACTTAGTCCTTTTGGCTGACCTGTTCGGCTGTCTTATCATCATTTACTTCTCTTTCGTCCATGGATTTTGCGCGTTTCTCTCGTCACAGCCGCGAAGCCCTGTTTGCGCGTGGACTTGGCTTCGACTCCCTCTCTTTCTGCTCAACCTGTCGGGATTGAGCTTTGACGTACGTGAGCGACGATCGCCCCTGTAGCTTGTCGTTGTTCAACTCCATGTTCTATGGCTTCTGCTCCTTCTCAACCACCGACTACTTCAATTTTAACAATTGGGAAGGCTTCTTTTGTCGATATGGTTGGCTCTTTGAGATCAGATCGGGTTTTCCCTTAGGTTTATCATGAATCATTCGAAGTCCAAGGGTACTGCAACTTCATCAAGAAGACAAGTAGGAAGATTGACAAACTAGCTATATTCTTTCTTGATGTTGAAGTTTCCAACCTAGTTGATAAGTGCAAATTCACCCTCATTGGAAAGTTTCAATCGGGACATCCCAAAATGGAAATCATTTGAAAGGTTGAAGAACTCAAACTTTTGGGACTTTGGAAGGTTTGTCTCGTTGATGGGAGACATGTGATGATACAATTATCTAAAGTGAAGGACTGTCAAATTATTTTTAAAAAAAATTATGACAATAGATGATATGAAACTGCTCAAGTGGTCTCCTGAATTTGACCCTAGCGAAGAACCACCTATAGTTCCAATCCAGTTTTAACTACCTAGCTTGAAGTTGCACTGCTTCAATCGCCAAGTCCTCTATTCTATTAGAGCAGCACTAGGGAGACCTATGAAATTGGATGTACCAACTTTCAACCTATCCAGGTCTTCGGTTGCAAGAATCTTTGTTGAAAGAGATATCACCCTCCCTGATGTGGATGAAATATGGCTTGGTACTGCCCACAATGGGTATTGACAGCCAATTATTGTAGAATAAAGGTTTTAATACTGCAATCATTGTAAATTGTTTGGGCACACCCCTGCAAAATGTTTCAGGCTTCACCCACATTTAAGATCGGTAGGTCCTAATAACATCATCAATGTGGAGGAAAATATAGCAGAAATTGTTAATCTTCCAGAAATGTTGAATGATAATTTGATTCATCAGGCTACTCCTCACCAAACAGATCAACAGTCTTTTCCCACTGTTGTTGAGGGAGTTATTCCTCATATCATAAACACTACGAATTTTGTTGTAGCAGAGGCTAGCCGAAGTGCCTTGGAACCACCTATTGTGAGAGACGAGGGCACTCAAGTCCTGGAGGAGTGTCAATCAAGGTGTGTTGCAGGCTAAGTCAGTCAGCAGGTTACGGATCAACATACCTCCCGGGTGAGCCCTCCAATGAAGATCCACTTATTGATCAGACAGGACTACCTCAGACAGATGATTAGCAGGTTTATAAATCTAGGAAGAAGGAAAAAAGAATGCTAGACCTCAGTAATTCTCAGGATAACTTTCTCATAGTTTCGGGTGGAAGCCCACATCTCAGTATGCTGCTGGACTCCCTCCCAAGATCCAGAGGAAGGGGAAGTGGTAAATCCACTGACTACACCCACCATGATTAGGAACGTTTTTCTTTTTATATTTTTGGGGTTTGCGTGTGGTTTATGTCTTCTTTTGAGTAAGCTGTAATCCTTGTGAGTGGGCTCTTTGTACCCACTCACTAAAATCTTTGTATCATCCCTTTTATTTCAATGAATTTGCCTTCTCATAACATATATATCAAAATAAGGTGGAACACAGACCTTCTTATTGTACTCACTGTAAGATGTTTGGAAATACCCTTGATAAATGTCACAAGCTCCATCCTAATTTGAAATCTAAGGTCCAAGTGGATAAGGATGAGTCTAACCCCACTGCTCTAGACATGTTAGTTCTACCTGTGGAGGACACTATCACAAGACAGGAGGTGTTTGTTGCCCCTGTGAACCCCCCATTGACATTGTTGTTACTGCGATTGATGTGATGCTGGATGGCTCTGCTAGGCAACCTACACCTTCAAACCCTATTGAAAACAAAATTGAAGGACTATTACCTACAAATGATAGTGTTCAGACTAATACTCAAGAGAACCTCGCAGCTCCGCATCTTCAAGAAGTATCCAGTGTACAGACAACTCATACTTCACATATGCTAGAACCTATTGTGGGTACAACGGTTTGAAATCCTTCTGCTACAGCTCTACCACGTCATCAGACTAATTCTTCGAATGAGGAATGACAGGTTTACACTTCCAAGAGGAAGAAGAAGAATGTAGATCTAATTGAGCTCAGGAATCTTATGGATGATACTTTGGTTACTTCGGGTAATGGTACGCACATTACCAATTTGTTAGTTGGATCCCTTCCGAGAATTAGAAGCAGAGGCAATTCTAAATTGGGATGACTCATTTTTTCTGCGCCCTAGTGGTTTTGGGTTTTTTTTTTGTTTTTTATATGTATCATTTTTTACTTTTTTGTGTGTTGTACCGTGTGGGTTGGGTGCCTATTTGGGCCAATTCACACAACCTATCTAAATCTTTTCTCTTTAATATATTGCCCTTGGGTTTTTTTAATATATAGTAGATAACTAGGACGAGGAGGTCTCTCCTCTTGAGCGGCAACCCTAACCCACACATATGGTTCAGCTGACCCTTCTCTTCTCTTCTCTTAGTTGAACAGGTTTGATTCAGTACAGCAGGTTCAGTCTCCCAGCCCATGGATGCCCCGCATCATGTTGAGTTTGCAATTGAGTTTCTAATTTTGTTAATTCAAACTATATTTTGATTTCATGGTTTAATAATATAACAATGTAAATTCATTACTTATACTTAAGATTTTAGAATATAAACCTGGTGAGCTATTATTTTAGAGATTTTATCCATAAACGGAAAACAGAGTTAGCTGCCTAATAAAAATTAGACAGAAGATGGACCTCAAGAACATGGGAACACCAAGATTGTTAAGAGATCAAATTTAAATATTTATATAGAGATTATAATGCAACCAAAACATTACACTTCCATGATTTATCTTTGTCTTAGTAACGGGATTGGACATTTTTATGATCTCGTTACATATACTCATTTCACAAATAATCACTACTCTAAAAAAGTGGTCAAAAGTGTGATATTTTTATGCGTGGCAAGGATGATTGTGAGATGATAACCTATAAGGGAGAGAACAATTGTATGTCATACTTGTAAGCTGTACATGAGGAATTGTAGGTATCTATGTGCAAGTTCTAAGTCAAACACAATAGCGATAGAACCACGTCATATCAAGGACAAGCTCCCACACACATAAGACGTGATGATGATGAAGGTATGCTTTTGTTATCTAGCTTAGCAAATTAAACTTTATCAATGATTGAAATTGATGCTAGTCGTAATGATGATCACAATATCAAGTGAATTGGGTCAATTAGTGGAACATCTATGAGGTCATATTTTTGGGACATTTTGAAGTTTATATACACTTGTTTTTATCTTAACATTTCGTCTAAAAAATATTATACTGATTTTAACAACGTCAAGCCAAATGATTAATGTTAATATTGGTGTTTTCAAAAGTTAAGTACACTTGATTAAAAAAATAATTAGAATTAAATTATTCTTAGTTGATCCTTAAACTTTTGATGTAATGCATATGATCTTATAGCTCATTTGTATTATTTTTAAATATAAAATATAAACATTACGTATTTTAGCTATAAATATTATATTAACAAGAATATTAAATCCACGGCAAGTCATGTGCGACTTTAGACGATTAACTCATGTCCCTCTATATCATTTTCATGTCTCCTGTTGATCTGTATGCTTCATAGTATAAAATGCTTAAGCATCCACCATTTAAAACACTACGTACTACGTGGGGTGGAAAATAAGATTATTAGTTGATAGATAAAATTAGGGTAGAATAAGAAAAGAAAAGTAGATCAAACTTAGCCAGAGTTAGCATGAATAAAGCAAAGAGTAGGTTTAACAACTACTACAAAAATCGATAGAAAGACTTGATGATGAGGGTAGCACCTACAATGAAAGAAATGACTTCTGTAAACTTGTAGAAGGGGTTAAGCCCACAGTCGAGCATTTTTTTAATCCATGTGATTGGACAAACAAATGATTGCAAACCTCAAATCATAAACAGAAGGGTAATTTGTCCTTTTTTGTAGCAGGAAACTAATGTAATACACAAAAAGAAAAGGGAAGATTTACATACATACCACTTCATTCCTATGTATTTACATAATTAGTATCTAAACTTCCATTTTGACATATATGATGGCACCTTACCTATTCATGAAAATGTGTATTTCACTTCTTAAAAGTTAAAATAGTGGTATTTTTCTGCGGTATGAAAGATTTGGGTGGTATAAATGTGAAAAGTAAAGTTTACAAGTAAGATATGAAAATTCAAAGGAATTGGCTGGTATGTATGTAAGTGCCCCCAAAAAAATAAAAGATTGATAAATTATAGAATGCTAAGAAAAGAAGTTATGAAGGGCCAAACACAATAAGCAGTACCTCCATGCATCATGAAAGCTGTTGCAGATGTTGACAGTCTGACCTACATCTATTGACATGAAAGTTTGAATTTCTCCCTCAGAGAACTTGGAGCGTTCAGCAAGACTTACATGTAAACACTGTCCAAATAATCAAGATTAGCCTATATGTAAGAAATAGATGATTTTATTCTTCCAAAAAACCAAATCAAAAACAAAAAGGTAATCAGATGTGCAAAACAAATTCTATTTAAAGCAATCCTATTTTTTTTCTTCTCAATATATTTGTGTTAACCATATTTGAAATGTGCGCCCATAACATGTTGCTAAAGTTTATGAGGCTAGAAAAAGTTCTGGAAAAGAAGTTAATTGTTTCCAAGTTTGGTCATCAGAAATAAAGGTGTATGAAATTTCGCTAATGATGATGAAGGGACAACTTTTAGCCAAAACTCTAAACATAGAAAGAAAAAAAAATTAGAAATAAAGAAAAAAATTCACCAAGAAAAATAGACAATGAAAATATCCAGAATTCACAGGCAGCAGAATATATATCTCACTTACAGACCAATAGACCACCTTAAATATATGTTTATATAGATAAATCATACAAGCAAAAAAAAGAAGTTCAAAAAATGACATGTATGTATGCATTAGAAAGAAAAAAAAAGTAAACAAATAAAGAAAAAAACACCAAGAACAATTGAAAACATTCATATAGAACTCTGAAAATATCCAGAATTCACAGGCAGCGGAATATATATCTCACTTACCGACCAGTAGACCATCTTAAATATATGTTTATATAGATAAATCATACAAGCCAAAAAGAGAGTTTGGAAAAATGACATGGATGTGTGTGTGTGTGCGCGCCCGCGCGTGTATAAGAGTGTGTGCCCGTACAGTGGATGGAAAATTGGCAATACATAATCATAGAAAGCATGCCAAGGATGGTAGGACAAAATAATCTGAGAATGAAAATTTGAAATTATAGGTCTGTTTTTAAAAGACAGAAACTATAGGAGCAAGAGAGGAATAAAGCCTTTTTCTTTGAGAATGGATAAACTTATGAAATCAAACACTTCTTTCTAAATATTTTTATCTTTTTTTAGTGTCAGAAAAAAAAATTCTTGAAGATGGAAAAATTATTCATTTATTTATAATTATTCACATAGATTAGTTATTTATTTATTAATCAACCATTTTTCTTTCTACATCCACCTTTGTGAATGAGGAAATAAATAGATCAAAAGATGCAAATGCATACAAATTATAAATAAAAAGGATAAGGTGTGAATGTGTTTTTAAATGAAAATAATACATGTACACCTTCATGCACTCATTGTGTACAAATAATAGGGAGAGAAGGGATCATATGTACTCATGTATAATTTTCTTTTGGTTGTAGCTATTTACAATGCCATATATATGCATCTACATTCATGTTTGCACACATGTATGCAGATATATGCATAAACATGCAAAATTTTCTAGGCAAGCTATGTATGCATGTATATTCATTTGGGCGTGAAAGTAAGCAAGTGTGTATATAACTATAATTTATTGCAGTATGTAGCATATTTATGTATCTAGGTTTGTGATGTATGAAATTTAGCCAGGTATGCATGTGGGGACATAATTTAAGGATGTAGGGGAGTTACTGCCTATTTATTTTTATTTACTTAAATCTAAACTTATGTAGGCCAATGTGCATGTATACAAGTTATTATTTATTAGCTAAATATGCACGTAGCATGAAATATTGTCTTATGCCTTGATGTCAGTCTGAGCATCAATAAACATGTATATGTGAATTCATGCAAGCATGCATATATTTAAAGATGCAAGTACAAATGCACGAAACATTTGGGAGTGTATTAAGTACATGATAAGGCAGACATATACATGTATAGGTGTACATATGCATGTATTCCGGGATGTAGCTTGTGTACGAGTTTACATGTGATTATAAATGTGCCACCTAACAGCTTATTAAATCCGCCACATAACTAGGTAGTATTAAGCATCAACTAACTGCAATGATATGTTAAATGCAGGATAGAAGGACATAAATTCACCTCGTGGTAAACCATGGTCATTATACTTGATCTTAACTTTAATCTCAGCTTAGCAAGATGAAAACTATACTGTGTTTCAAGAAATGACCTGCAAAAAAAATTTAAAAAAAAAATAAAATATAAAGATATCCGAACCAGGGCAATAATCAAATCTAACCTAACAAATAATTTCTGAATCTTAATGATTTTGATTTTGTTAGCATGTCATGTACAATGTTTTCAACATACAAAATGTTCATCATCAAGTTGGCTATACTAAATAACCAATCTACTGAATACAGTCTTATCACTTTCAGTGTACTTTCTACACTACTCAACACGTTACAAATTATTTTGCACTGCTAGAAGAAAGACATTCACCAAAAATTTCACCATACATTAGAAAACTCTTACAAAAGCAGTCTGGATGGATACGTACACACCCAAACAAATATTTAAATTCTTCAAAATTACTTATATGCAAGCAGTATAATTGACGCAAGTTTGTCTCACCTTACTCCTCAATTTTACCTAACCAGGCCTTGTTAACAGTATCATGCTTGGTTTCGAACAAGATTAAAAACCCAGCAAGTATGGTGCCATTTACTAACCTAATGCTGGAGAGAAAGACTTGAATATCATAATAAAGGCCAGCCAAGTTCATTTTACTAACCTGAATAATTTTCAACCTGATTTTAAGCCTTATAAGAATTATGCTATCAGAATATTATACGGCCAAGTTTATTTTACATTGATGCAACAACTGATTTTGGCAATACTAAACAATATAAACAAAGGCAATGTTTTTAAAGCATGCTTCACAAGGAAAGCGCGCTTCAAAGCGTGACACCCATTTAACTTTTCGAGAAAATCCTTTTTAGCCTCAAATACATTGATTTCATACTCATATAATCTTATAAAAGAGATTTTAAATGCAATTTGCCTTGATCTACAAACTTCAAGTCCTTAAGATGGCAATGTTCTTCAAGTATTGACATAACGAGCAATTAGTTTATCATAAAAAGTTAACATAAAGAGATAAAGCAGAAAACTTGGCATTTTGATCGCATCATGGAAAGCTTATATTTTTTTTAAGCGGAACGCTCCCTTAGCAGAGTTTTCACTAAAGAAAAAAAAGTATAGGGATAAGTTCACACAAGGAATGTAAGCTAGGCTTTAGAGTGGAGTTCACTAATTAGACTTCGTGCTTACACCATGTTTTGCAAGAGATATATTAGTTGTCCAAGCTATTAAAAGAAAATAAATCTATCATTAGAAGAAATTCATTAACCTCAACATTTTTCTGAAATAAGTCATAAGCTTGTAGAGACAAGTCCACAACAAAGAATTTCTTCTTAGATGTCCCTCTAACCAAATCAAATCCTTCCCAGATTCACTCTAATACCAAATATGATGCTAGCGAGTGGTCTTTTGATGAGATAAAGTACTAAAATTTGGCAATGACGTTTGGTGTTAAGTCTAAAGATGTAATGTGGAGATTTTGATGGGATTTTAAAAGATTTATGAGGGAACAGTGGCTAAAACACCAAGACTGGTCTAGATTAGGCTAGTTTGGACTTATTTGAAATATCTCTTTAGAAAAATGTCTCAAACTGGGTAAATGGCTAGAAATGATTATTGGTGGTTGGCTTAGGATGCATACTTATGATATGGAGTAGATGTGTGGTTTTGGATGGGTTAACAATGGTGTTTAGGGTTAGGGGACAAGGTTGGGTCTTAATATGCTCGTGCTTGACCAAGAGCTATTAAGAGGAGTTTGGAATGATTGTGAGGCTTTGGTTGTTAGCTTGTTGATATTATAAGAAGCATGGGAAGAGGTTGAAAAGTGGTGAAGAGTTTAAGAACAAGTGTTATGGAGAATTAATGAATAACATAAAAAAAAGCAAAGATAAATACCTAATCTCACCAAATAAAATGTAACACTTGAAGAGACCAAGCACCAAACGACAAAAGAGAATGTTCTCACTCAAATATTTCATTCAACAACTGATCTCAAGCATTACATATCAGCCTTATTTATAAGTATTATAATGATAGAAGGTCAATAAGAGGAGGAACTTTTGAAGGGTGGTCGTTAGTCATTAATGAAGGAATGTTCCCCCTTTTTTTTTTTTTTTTTTTTTGACCAGTCATAAAAATCTCCAGATTTCAAAATTCAAATATTCTGGAAACTAAAATTGAAATATAAATAATAAAATACAAAATCAAATATTTCTTCTTGATATGGCTCTTGTAATAGGCCATAAGTGAGCTTTAAATTGGACACTTTCTTAGGCTCTTGCTTGAGCTCTTGTATGTTGACCTTTGACTTCATTTTGATGATCTGCTATATAACTTAACAAGAAGTTCGAGTTGCTCAAAGAAAACATAAGTCTGAGGAGATTTTATAAGAAATTTTTGGAAACTCTATTGGAATGCAATAATGCATTTCTAATTAATCATAAAATCTCCCATAAGACGAGGCATTTTTTTAGTTTATTTGGGTTGATATCGTGGTCGATGTCGAGATTTCCAACTGTGTTTAATAGGATAATGAGCTCCTCTTTTAAGATTGATAACAAATTTTATGGTTGAGATCCCTAATGATAGAGGTTGACATCATATCTAACATTGAGATCTCATTTATTTTGGGTTTGCATCGTGTTTTAATGCTGAAATCCCCAAATATCAGCTTAAGAATTTTGCTAGCAAGCAAAATATACGTTAATATTTAAAAAATAGAATTTTCTCTTTGGTTGACTAAGACCTTGAAGGTTTAACCGAGAAGTCTTGAGATTTGAAAGCTTTAACAAGAAGCTCAAAAGATGCAAGTTCTATCACAGCTCAAGTCAATAACGCAAGTTGGTCAAAAAGGTCAGACTCAACAAAGCCCAAATATGACCGAGTTGCTGATAGCCGTCCTCCTTCAACAAGCCATAAAAACAATTGTACTGAAGAAGCCCTATTTTGTCCATTTAATGACAAGTTTTCTTGCTAAGGCTTATCCACCTTGACAAGAATGTGATTATGGTCATTTCTCACTCCTCAATAAGTTTATAATAGCACAATGAAGAATAACATCAATCCTCGTTGTAAGAGGAGACATCAAATGTAATTTAGTAGGAGTCAATTTCAATTGTTCCCCACTCTTCCATACAAGTTATTATGCAAGCTCGACATAAAGTCAGAGTTGCTCAAATAAAACATAAACCTTAGGAGATTTTAGAAGATATTTTTGGAAACTCTCTTGAAATACAAGAAAGCGTTTCAAACTGATCATAAAAACATCCCTAAGACATAGGGTATTTTTTTAATTTATTTTGGTTGATATCGTGCTCAATACCAAGAACCCCAAATGTGCTTAATTGAATAATGGGCTCCTCTTTTGAGATTGACAAAAAACTTATAGTTGTGATCCCTAATGACAAGGGTTGACATCATGTCTTACATTAAGATATCATTCCTTTTGGGTTGACATCGTGCTTCAATATCGAAATCACCAAATATTTGCTTAATAATTTTTGTTATCAAGCAAAATAAATGTGATAATTTAAAAAACAATGATTAAGATTTAGAAGGTGCAGCTAAAAAGACTTCAAGATTTACAAACTATAACAAATTAAATTGGAAAGATGAAAGTTCTACCACAATTCAAGTCTATGACTCAAGTTGGTCAAAATTTTCGGACTCAACAAGCCCAAATATGGTCAAGTCGCTGACAGCTTACTTCACTCAATAAGCCATAAAAATGACCATAGTGAAGAATCAAGCTCTTTTTACTCAACAAACCATAAAAAAGGATGCAACAGCAAAGCTCACTTCTTGTTAGTTTGATTACAACAGTTGTCTAGTTCCTAAACTCATCTAATTTAAAGAATTCATGTCATCCAAAATTATAAATCTTTCTAAATAGATTTTGACGGATTAATGTTAAATCAAAAAATCATCTAAACTAAAACAAAATAGCCATGCAGTCAAGCTAAAATATTCTCAAATATATAAGTTCCAAGACTTTGTGATATAAGAAAGGAAACACCCAAATCTATAAGCTCAAGCCCATTAAATTAAAGAAGCACAAGTTCATTGTAGTCTAAATCTGGGACTCAAGTAGGTCCTGAAGGTTGGACTCAACAAGCGCAAATATGACTGAGTCGCTAACAGCTATCTTCCCTCAAAAAGCCATAAAAAACAATCGCAATGAAGAAGCCCCTATTTTGCTAGTGTAATAACAAACACTATCATATTCAACTTGATAAAGTTCAAGCAAACTAGATCAAAGAGATTTTCTTAAATAGTAAAGAGGTCAAGGAAAATTAAAGGAATGATCGTCGCTCAAGAAAGCATCTAGCCAAGCTTGATGTCCTATTCAAATAAAGAAAGTCTAATTGTTTTTCAAAAAGACTAATCAAGAACAAGGAGCGAAGCAAATAATTCTCTTCTTCAATAAGTCTGACAAAACAAACAGCAAAGGACAAAAGAAGTTATCTCATAAATTCGTTCAAAGCTCAATGTTGAACTATGGGAATTCAATTGCCAACCAGTCCGATAAAGCACAAAGCATAGGATCGATGATTTAAGGCCATTAACTCAATGTAAGCTCGAAGGCCAAGTCATTAGCATTGATCCTTCAACAAGTCCACCAAAGCATAAAGCTAAGACCGAAGGTATGATTCTTCACCTGTCAAGTCCGCAGAGTCAATTAAGGTCAATTCCTTCAACAAGTCGTCCAAAGCCTAAAACTAAGATCAAAGGTATGTTCATTCACCTAACAAGTCCATAGAGACAATTCAGGTTAATGCCTTCAAAAAGTACGTCAAATAACAAAGCTAGAACTGAAGGTATGCTCACTCACCTGACAAGTCTATAGAGACAATTCACATCAATTCCTTCAAAAAGTCCTTCAAAGGACAAAGCTATGGTCGAAGGTATGTTTATTCACTTGGCAAGTCTGTAAAAACAATTCACGTCAATTCCTTCAAAGTCCACCAAAGCAAAAAGCTAGAACTGAAGTTACAATATCATGATAGATAAAGCTAAGACAAAAATGGCTCAAAATTTTAAAAAATAATGAAATCAAAGTTTCAAAAAGTCCAACAAAGCAGGAAGCAA